CATTTCTACTCGGGTATCTCCGTCAATATGGTAGAAATTTAATCAAGAAAATCGGAAGATCGCAAATAATTACCTACGGTTAAGTCATCTTTAGTGGCGCATCAGCTATGAATTTGTCAGGACTAAACCGAAACTAGAGCTGGCAGCGAAGTTTGCAGCTTCTTGTACAAACGCACGTACGAGTAAAGTTGTTGCTGTGTGTGCAATTAGTTCGTATAAGCGCAAGATCACCGGAGTTAAAACAAATTCGCGGAAGAATGTTTCCGGCAGGAGCACGATTAAGAATGTACTCTGCACCGGAGAAGCGGAACATTTTCTCGATTTCCTCCCTCAGCAGTTCTTGACTGAAATGTGCCGTTCAAATAGGAAAAAAAAAGAGAGAAAGAAAAAGAAAAACCTTTGGAATTTTGCCTGAGAGCGCCGTGTGCAAAGACTTATCGCACCCTTCCGCACAAGTCTTACACGGCCCCGATATTTTCAAAGCCAAAGAGCATTCATCCCCTTTCATCTTCTGAACATTATACGATTTAATATATTTATATCTTCATATTTGTACACTTTACACAGCGGTCTAACGATATTTACATATCTCTCATTACACATTTAACATTAAACGTGGTAAATTTTTGCAAAATTATTTTGGTGGAAAATACGCACACTTTCTCTAAACAGAACGATATTATTTATCTACTAGTTAATGAAACGGGATAAGAAGGTTATCCTTGTCGAAGTATTATCGCGCCAATAAAAGCAAATGTTGCGAGATAGCAAAGAGCATCTCCTGATCTTCTTTTCCGAATTATATCAATTTTAGAGACACGCTGTCTCAGAACAGTTCCACGTAGAATATTACAAGGAACAGGATAAACGTCACATGTACGACGCGAGAATCTTAGATACCTTGCGTATGTGAGGAGGCGAAACGCCGATCGTCTATCCAAGATCTTCAAGCATTCGCGAGAGACTCTCGAGAGAACATTTCGAGTTCGGTTTGAAACAGACGTGAAATTCGATATTGATGTTTCCGTGACATCGCGACCGAGGAAACCCTTACGAGGGACCCGTTTCTCGCGCGATACACACAGCGATTCAAATCGGGTAACAAGAGAGCGACGATGCATCGTGTACTCTATTGGCGTACGATGAATAAAAATATTGACAGGATTTCCGAGATAAACTCGCGAGACCTTTCCGTAGCTTCTGTATTTCCCGAGAGGGTAAATTTTCGAGATAACATATTTGAATGAAATACTTGCAACAAAAAGTACATATGTGGGCAAAACACTATCGCTGTTTTACTGCGTCTCTCTGCATAATATTTATCTCTTTTCAAATCGTAGTTTATATTTTTCTTCAGAATTGCTCACATATCGTAAGGCATCGTAATATATAATAATTAATGTTAACATTGCAAAGAAAAGATTTTCAATCGAATGAAAAAGTTACAGAACATTTTATGACCTTCCGGATTAATCGCGATTGTACCTTAGGGATTAATGCCCGAGGATAATCTTGCTTGCAAGGTCGAATCGTCTGTTTGTGCCGAATAAATAATTCTGTCGGAATGAAAAGGCGAGCTACCTTCTTACTTGCGGGAAAGAAAATAATATCGGGGCTATTACCACCACGTGCTGAATCACAATCAGATAACTCTTTGACGTTCACCTTATAAAGTGAGAACTTGGCGATAAGACCAGTCATCTTACTTTAGCTACCGAGATGTTAATGAGACGCTAATTTCCTATCAAGGAGTTCTCGTTATCGTCCCCGCTAGTTGGAAGAGAAGCATGGAAAGCGTTTCGAAAAAATTGCCTCGATATTCATTCGAACAACAAAGCTCTTTCTTTTGCATACGTGTGAAATATATTCCATCACTATAAGACATCGATCTCACAATAACAATTTTCTGTTAATAACGACAAAATTGACTACATGTTTATCTGTAATCATACTAGGTGTTGTTTTTAACGCCAGCTTCATCCATTCCGTTCCGTTGAAATTCAGAAATTTGACAGAGCGCACACTAAAATAAAAAGAGAATTACCGTATATTATCGCACTATGTAATGCAACATGATTGTTCCAAAGTACTGAATCATATTACTAAGTTATTTCTAGCGTCCTACTTCAACATTATAACATTCATCGATTTTCCCCGTCAATTTACGTCCCGATGCATTTGACGTAACTCAAAAGCGCTCTACAAAAGACAAACTTTCAAAATCCATCGTTTTATATGCAACAATCTAATAGCGTCAAAAGTCATTTCAGTTTACCACAATAAATTATAAATGCAATATTCGTACAGGTAGATGGGAAGTGTGGCGTTGAAACTGGATACATGTTTTTCACGAGGTCGTTAAAAGTAATTTGCTAAGCTGGATGATATATAAAGCAAGTTAGAA